TGCTGTTCTTTGATACTACAGATGTCAGTATTTCATAATATCATCTTGGATGATATTATAGAACTCACTTATGTTATTTCCGCCTGGATGATATTACAAAACTCACTCTGGTAACATCATCCAGGATGACCTTACTGAACTCACTCTTATTGTATCCAGGATGACATTACAGAATTCACTCGTATAATATAATCCTAGATGATATTACAAACCTAACTCTTGTAGTATCATCCTGTATAACATTGAAAACAAACTGTTATAATAAAAATTGTAATGAAAATAGTTTTGTAAAAATTGTTTGCTCTTCTTTTGTAATCCAAACACCATTACATAGACCTCTTTATTTTCCGTCGGAAAAATTCAAATATTTCCATGCATGTGTGCTTTCAAAATGGTGATTCACCTTTTAATTACCAATGGTATAAAAAATAACATGTATTAAAAGACCAATTTGTGATATTTTTATCGTCTTTCTGTTTCGACTATTTAAGTTTTTTATATACATTTTTCACGGATTGTGGTAGCAAATACTTGATTAGAAAATTGGTAAAAAGTTACACGAGAAAAAATAGTTAAGCAATAGTAAATAATTGAGGCCAAGATACGAGATCTCTCAAAATTATCAACACGTACAATATCACCACTGAAGTGAAGAGCTCATGAACAGGAAGAAATCACCCCTGATGTGTGAAGATTAAAAGCAAGTACTAGATCACCCCTGATGTGTAGAGATCAACAACTACATGATCACCTAAAGTGTAGAGATAACGAACAAGTACAAAATCACCGGTGATGTGCAGAGGTCATCGACAAGTAGAAAATCACCCCTAAAGTATAGAGATCAACAGGTATAAAATCACACCTAAAGTGTACATATAATCAGCAAGTACAAGTTCACCCTTCCCCACCTCCTCCATGGAGTGTGTAGAGATCACCAACAAGTACAACATCACCTCTGAAATGTAATAATCATCAGGAACTCAAAATCACCGAGGAATTTTTTTGATTATCAGCAAGTACAGGACCACCCCAGACAACCCGTCCTCGACGCAAGTCCATTACATCCAGCAATTGACCCCACAGACGCATTCATAAATTTTTCCATGCTGTTCATTCAAAACAGGAATTTTCTTAAATATAAATTAATATTATAATATATTAGCATATTGTGCATATATATAAGGATAGATGCATATATAGGCATAGGATAGGTCAGGTGTTTAGGTTCTGTTGGCGATTATTTGTATTTGTAGTACGCGGGTGCAGCATTTACAGCGTTGTGATTCGAACAAAATTTGTCAGTGAAGCACTTGTTCCGGAAGTGTTTGAACGAAATCAGTTGTGAGTAGCGTGTAAACCGTTTTTCATTCATAAACAGGGGGTTTGGTGGGTGCATGGAATCACTTTTGGGTCTGTGTTTGGAGGACGGGCTGCCCCAGAAGTGCAAAGACTCGTAACATACAAAGTATAGTTTCAACCCCTTGTTTGTGCCTCTCTGTACACCGAGTCTGTTGAACCTGTGGGCATGTAAGTACACCGTGCCACCGTTAGGGGATGTGTTGGCCTGAGCACGCCATGGTCTGTGGCCTCTCGAAAAATGGGGAATGTGCTGAAAGTGGCCGAGCAGTTTAAATACTTGTGATATGTAATTGATAAAAGAGAATTGTGTACAAGTGATGTTGAGAGTAAAATCAGGGGATTGTGGGAGCTTGTATAGTGGACATAGGAGAGCAGGGGATGGGGGGGGGGGGGTTATTGGGGCGCTTGGTGAGTGGTAATACCTACTGTTATTGTTCAGTTGTCAGAGGAAGTGAGGACTTCGTGTGCGAGGAAGATGAATGGGTGAATGCGGAAGCGACGGAGGAGTTTATGAGGAAGGGTAGAATGAGTGTGGCATGTGGATGTGTTGCTGGAGGGAGACGGTGAGGGTTGCACGAAGCAATAGATTGCTCAATGGTTTTTAAACTTTTCGCTGAAATGTCAGTTTATATGGCAGTGTTGCTCACTCTGTGAATGAGCATAATACTATTGCTCCATATAACACCTTTCAATATGAAAAATGAAAGATTCTGCAAAGATATTTATCCTGTCATTTGTACCCTTCACAGCTGGGACTCACATAACTATCTGCAGTGACTGTACTGTGAAATAAAGGATTATCGAATTACAGCTCTAAAATTATCTTTATCTTCCGGGTACAAAGCAAGGGATTTTCACTCGGGAGAGTTTCAATATTGGTATAAAAAAATGAATGATCAAATAAAGTGGATTTACTGTAATATACATTGTCTTGCAAGTGAGCTGCTCAATTTTCGTTTTAAATCTGAATCTACAATTTCACTTCTATCCAAACCCAATTCTTGCGATTACAGGTTTTCTCCTTCGGTCATCTACTTTTCCTCCGTACTGACCGAGTTTGTTGGGTGCAGCTGCATTGTACGAGCCCACAGATTCACTTAATTGTATTGTGATCTGTATTTCGTCAGTTAACTTGTCACAGTGTTGTTCTATGATTGATTCTCCTGATTAGTGAAAGGGTTCTGGGGATGAAGTACTCAATATGGTCTTCACCTTAGCTTCTTATCAGTTTCCATGAGCGGGATCCACAAAACTGTCCGGCATTTGTACAAACTCCTGTTATCTGCCTGTTGTTCTAAATATTTTCAATGTTACTCCCAAGGTCAGAGCACATCCCTGCTGCACTTGCGTTCCCTGTAATGTCTTAAACGTCATAATGGCAGAGAGCTTTGCATTCATCGAGGAGGCGCGGATTTCAATCCGTGTTTTTTTATTTTCTTCTTTTTAATCAATTGGTCCGAATTACAGTGTATGCGGCACCAGCTTTGCCATTAGTAAGAAAAGAGTATCTACCTGTGATGTGATTTGATCAACGGTAATTAATTTAATTCATCTTTTAATTTACTAATGCTATATGTTTCATTTCGTGTGGGTAACATGCCTGGACTTGTTCGTTGACATCTCATTTATATTAATGGAATATGGTTCTTTCGCACAAAGAGGTTACATCCTTACAGCAGCTCTTTGGAGAAGTGACAAGATCGATCTTGTCACTTTGTGCTATTTCCTTGTCCTACTGTAATTAGAAGAGAACTTAGTTTTTTCCTTGCTAATATTTATGCTTGCATTCGAGGTGAGGTGATCTTTATGGCAAGCCTGGCACTCAGTTGCTTGAGTCTGCTGTTAACGCTAGAAATAATTAGTTATGGTCTCAGCTTCCCTGTTATGACTCAACTTCTTCTGGTTCTTCCAAAATGATTAAACGGAATAATTTTATATGCATTATAAATTGGTCATAGCAGTAGGTGCTTAAGACTGGTGACGCATGATTTTGACTTGCATATCTTAAATATGCTGTATATTTTCATCTGTCTGGTACCAGAAGACCAGTTAATATTTCAGGACGTAGCTCTCTGGGGCGTTGGTCTACTTTAGTATATCCATATAAGTTGATTAAGTTACTCTTTCTTTCTCTTACTAGAGCCGACACTATCTCCCAAAGTAATTGTCGACGTTTTCTAGAACTTCACCATTATTATGTATATCTGTGTTTTTCTTATCTTGTTATTGGAGTACATTATATGTTTGTTTATGAATGAATAAAATCAAATTCAGTACATGTATTTCTAAGTTCAGAATATGGGGGTTCAGCTTTACATAGTTGGGGTCTGTATCAGGACATCATCTGCATATCTCATGATCCGTCAATGGGAACTAAATTTTCTCCCTGTGATATAATCTTCAATCCATTCCAGAAGTTCACCTGAGGCACATAAATGTAAGCTTATCTGGCGTTTCAATCCATTGTGCATTCTCAAAAGTCTCCTTTGATGTCAACAACATCAGAGTAGTTGGCTGCCTGGTGGCTAAAATATTTCCCATACAATTGACTGTGTTCCTTCCATTAACAAACCTCTTGATCATCCCTGAGTCTATCTATTTGGAATGCGAAGTGATTTAAGATAATCCTTACAAGCACCTTGCAATGATTTGATAAGAGATTAATAATCCTGTAATTACCATAATTCTTGCAGTTTTGGATAGGAAAGTTACTGTAACGTTTTCCATTGTGTCGGTAACATTTCCCTGAAGTTCCACTTATTTATAAAATATGTGTAGTGGATTCTCAGAGACTTCACAGAGTGCGTTGAAAGTGCGTCAGTGGTGACCCCATCTTAACCGAGTGCAGTGCTTTTGCCTTTTTTTCATAGCATCCCTTACCTCCTGGGCTGTGATTTTTATTTCTGTTCTCGCCGTCACAAGATGCTATCCTGATTCTTGTGTCATACCGCAGGAGGCGTTCCATATTTATTTCTGCAGGGAGGCACGAAAATTATACTGCATCGCTCCACTTGTGGATTAGTTCCTCAGCATTGCCCTTGGGATCTGTGGGAGCGGCAGGCCGTGCTCGGCTTCTTCAACTTGCTGGAGGAAGCTTCCTTCAGCTTCCTTCTTCAGCTTCAGTGTGCGTTTGTGTGTGTGTAAATCAAGAAAAATAAACACGCGATTAAAAATGTGACGGTTTCAGACCACGGAGGAAAATTGAAACAGGAATTTCCGTAAGTACTTTCGTATATTAATACATATATTATATATTATTTTTTTATTAACTAATTTACGAAATATTAATATATTTCGTATATTAATACATATCTTTCTCGTTCAGACTCCTTCTGAAAATGTATTAATCTACGAAAGTACTTAAGGAAAGTCTTGTTTCAATTTTCCTGCGACAGACATACCCAAATTCACACACACACACAAAAAAAAACTATACACACAGACACAAACACACACACAAACACACATGACAAATAACAATAGCTTGCAATCAAAAACGTACAAACAAATTAAATATCAGGACTCAGACACTAGGACGATCACGTACATTGCATTCTAATATAATCTCTTTCTCATACCTTTTATTTTCACGAAGGTTAATTGGCCTTCAGAGTTTCATTCAGTATTTTTGTTTCTGTCAGATCCAGCTGTATGGCTTCAACGCTGACCTCTACCGCAACATGAGCGAGGCCAGGCTGGGCTCCAACGGCATCGTTGGTCTCTCTATCATGATCCAGGTGAGAGAGTGAGAGAGAGAGAGAGAGAGAGAGAGAGAGAGAGAGAGAGAGAGAGAGAGAGAGAGAGAGAGAGAGAGAGAGAGAGAGAGAGAGAGAGAGAGAGAGAGAGAGAGAGAGAGAGAGAGAGAGAGAGAGAGAGAGAGAGAGAGAGAGAGAGAGAGAGAGAGAGAGAGAGAGAGAGAGAGAGAGAGAGAGAGAGAGAGAGAGAGAGAGAGAAGAGAGAGAGAGAGAGAGAGAGAGAGAGAGAGAGAGAGAGAGAGAGAGAGAGAGAGAGAGAGAGAGAGAGAGAGAGAGAGAGAGAGAGAGAGAGAGAGAGAGAGAGAATAAAACAGAGAACATATTATAAATGGTTAAAGCGCATTTTCCTGCGGAGGAAGGGAAAACCAACGTTCCATGTTTATTTTAGCCTAGATAACTACAATATCACAGAGCATGATAACGAGTACACCATACAGGTGACTTGTGTGGATAACAGTGACCTCTTACTGTGGATAACAGTGACCTCTCACTGTGGATAACAGTGACCTTCTCTCCTCATTAATATTCCACGGTTTCCACTCCTTTCTATTCTCTAGCTTCGCCTCTCACTTCATGCCAAATGACTTATTGATTTGTATCAAAACTATTCATCATACTTCCTGGGTAAATATTTGTCCAAGCCATATACAGCCCAGGCCACAGTCAGTCCAAGTGACAGATAGTCCAAGTCACAGACAGTCCAGGCCACAGTCAGTCCAAGTCACAGATAGTCCAAGTCACAGACAGTCAAAGCCACTGAGAGTCCAAGCCACAGACAATCCAGGCCTCAATGATCAAGGAATTGTAGCCTCAGGTGCTGGAAGCCAACTTCCTTAGTCATGGTAACTGGAATACGCTCATCACCGATAGTTGTAACACTTTATGTATATATATATATATATATATATATATATATATATATATATATATATATATATATATATATATATATAAAGTGTTACAACTATATGCTGAGCGTATTCCAGTTACCATATATATATATATGTAAATATATATATATATATATATATATATATATATATATATATATATATATATATATATATATATATATATATATGTTACAACTATCGGTGCTGAGCGTATTCCAGTTACCATATATATATATATATATATATATATATATATATATATATATATATATATATATATATATATATATATATATATATATATATATATATATACACTTATATATATGACGTCTGAAAACTGACACCCCAGAAGTGACTCGAACCCATACTCCCAGGAGCAACGCAACTGGTATCTACAGGACGCCTTAATCCGCTTGACCATCACGACCGGACATAAGGAAGTGATAGCCGAAGCTATTTGAACCACTTCCCCGCCAGCACTCGGATGGTAATCTTGAGCATAAGCGGATTAAGGAATCCTGTAGATACCAGTTGCGTTGCTCCTGGGAGTATGGGTTCGAGTCACTTCTGGGGTGTGAATTTTCAGTCGCATATAGTCCTGGGGTCCATTCAGGCTTGTTTGCATTTGTGTTCCTCACGTGTGCCCCAAAGAATGAGGTGATTTGATAAAATGCTATGCCCAAGATTACCATCCGAGTGCCGGCGGGGAAGTGGTTCAAATAGCTTCGGCTATCACTTCCTTATGTCCGGTCGTAATGGTCAAGCGGATTAAGGCGTCCTGTAGATACCAGTTGCGTTGCTCCTGAGAGTATGGGTTCGAGTCACTTCTGGGGTGTGAGTTTTCAGTCGCATATAGTCCTGGGGACCATTCAGGCTTGTTTGCATATATATATATATATATATATATATATATATATATATATATATATATATATATATATATATATATATATATATATATATATATATATATATATATATATATATATATATATATATATATATATATATATATATATATATATATATATATATATATATATATATATATATATATATATATATATATATATATATATATATATATATATATATATATATATATATATATATATATATATATATCTTCTGATTCCAGGAGGTAGCAGCATCGATGCTCGTCACTGGAGGCTGGAAACCATTGAATTAAAACAACAGGAATTGAGGTTATTTATAAAAAACACAAAATATTTTGCAAATAACCATGTTACCTATTTATTTACCTTTAGGGGAAATAAACATTCCCAAATAAAAAAAATAAAGTTATGGGTAGGAAATAACGAGGAAAACTTTAGCCCGGAAAGGAAAGTTAACTGAGGGGAAATGTGAGGGGTAGACAGTGGAGACTTCCTTCTCTCATACCCAGGAGTATGAGTGGAGGCAGTAGGGAGCACCAATCACACAGTAGAGGATTCATATGAGGGATGAGGCTGTACCTGTGACCAATTCAAGTTCCTCATAGGTGGTGACCTGGCAGTAGGAGAGCCCATGCCATCACCCTGACTGTGGAGAGGCGTTGTTGTGGTAGTATCAATGGCGTTTCTGACTGCCGTCTTGGCCCAAGTAATATATATGAGGTGATAGACACACCTCTCACAGGTCTCAGCTGCCAACCAGAGGAAAACACTTTCATGTTGTTAAATACTGACCACATATATTCCGATTTCTATCCTCTTCCTTATCATTCGTTACTAAAACATTTGCTGAACATATTGAGCTCTAGTATATCATTATACAGAGTTCTCTTTATTTCATTATACACAACTCCCATTTATCATTGTACAGACTTTCATTGCTCAGTTTAAAGATTTCTCATTACTCATTATACATATCTTTAATTTATCCCTATCCAGATCTGTACAGAGATTTCGTTACCTGTCATTGTACATTATACACAGTTGACATTATTATCAAATATACAGAGCTCTTATTACTCACTATGCTGCGATCTCATTACTCATTATAAAGAGCAGCCATTGCTCATTTTATAGAGCTCGCATTACTCATTATTCAGATATTTCATTACTCATTATACATAGATGTATTTGATCATTATTCAGAAATTTAATTGAGAAAAATCGTTTCACAAAGCTCTCATTGTTCAGTAATTAGAGCTCCCATATCTCAGTATTTAGAGTTCTCATTGCTCAGTATTTAGAGCTCTCATTGCTCAGTATTTAGAGCTCTCATTGCTCAGTATTTAGAGCTCCCTTTGCTCAGTATTTAGAGCTCACATTGCTTAGTGTTTAGAGCTCTCATTGCTCAGTATTTAGAGCTCTCATTGCTCAGTATTTAGAGCTCTCATTGCTCAGTATTTAGAGCTCCCTTTGCTCAGTATTTAGAGCTCACATTGCTCAGTGCTTAAAGCTCTCATTGCTCAGTATTTAGAGCTCCCTTTGCTCAGTATCTCGAGCTCCCTTTGCTCAGTATTTAGAGCTCCTATAGCCCTGTATTTAGAGTTCCCATTACTCAGTATTTAGAGCTCACATTGCTCAGTATTTAGAGCTCACATTGCTCTGTACTTAGAGCTCCCATTGCTCAATATTCAGAGCATTAGTAGCTGAAGTGGATTGTGGTCCACATTATTGGCAATGGGGTTTTTGAAGAGCAGCATTATAAAGGGAGGAGGATGAGCTGCAACATTAGTAGCGATGGTGGACTAGAAGCAGCAATAGTTGCGGTGATGAATGAGAGGCAGTTACCACTAACGGGCTATTCATGCCCGTGCCACCTCTTTGGTGGCTTAATCTATATCAATCAATCAATCAATCAATCGAGAGACAGTATTAGTAACGGGGGGTGGAATAGGGGACGCATTAGTAACGTGAGGCAGCATTAATGGCCGGGGTGGATGATAGACAGCATTAGCAGCGATAGGATGGAGGAGGCATTAATGTCGGTGGAGGCATGACTCTCACGCGAGGCTCTCCCCTACTAATTATCCCCTCACCACCACCAGCACAAACCACAATGCAGCCTAGTTATTTGCCGGACCAAATTACCCAGCCAGCTTATCCCCGTCTGTGATTGGTGGACCGAGCTGGTGTGGACGGGCGAAGCTCCCTCGGGACATCTTCCACAAGAGGCGGTGTTGAAATAATGAGTATTGGGTACGGTGTTGGCGACATGTTTGTTGCCATAGTGAAGGATAAATATTGACACATTGAAGGCATGGAAATGTGTGTGTGTGTGTGTGTGTGTGTGTGTGTGTGTGTGTGTGTGTGTGTGTGTGTGTGTGTGTGTGTGTGTGTGTGTGCTCACCTTGAAGATCATGCGTTTATGTGCTCGCAGGGATGAGTGTTCACTTCTAAGTTCAGCCTCGTAAATCATTTCTAATTCATTGTAATGTGTTTAGCCTTCTCTTGGCGACGGCTGGCTCTCTAGACCAAGTGGTGCTTGCCCCCGGGGTCCGTTACCTCCGTGTTTATATTCTATCCGATGAAACTGGATTACCTGATCGCTCACACCTGATTGGCTAAGACAAGCCCTTGAACCTATCACTGAAGTTCCTTGTATCTGATGATGTTTCGAACCTCACACAAATATTGAAAATAATCATTGATCGTCATATAACGCTCTAAAATGTCCTGATGCTAAGTAATCTAACAGATAGATAGATATATTTTTATAGAGGGGTAGGAAGGGAATAATCAAGAGAAAGAGCCATGCAATCTAACATATGTGACGGCGCTTCAGTACAAAATAGAAAAGGAAAATCCTGCATGATCTCTACTCGTTTTCCCCTCATTTCCAGCCCACGCTAAATCCCCTTTCCCTCATCTCCTCTCCCCTCTCCACCCCCACTCTGGAGGCTTTTCCATTAACCCTTTTACAGCTCTCAGCTTCCATCTCGAACACGTCCTAAGGACAAAGAATCAGTAATTAAGTCCGTCCTTATGGGTGCTATTCTGGGAGGGTTGTGTTGTTTGTGAAGTGTAGCTCTTGTGGTGATCCTGTGGTGGTCCTGCGGTGGTCCTGTGGTGTGTCCTGTGGTGGTCCTTTGGTGGTCCTGCGGTGTGTCCTGTGGTGGTCGTGTGGTGGTCCTGT